CAAAGTTGGAGGACTCGCGTCGGTTCCAGTACTTCAAGAGAGACGCCGACGAACTCGAGTCGTGGATCAATGAGAAGCTGCAGACCGCGAGCGACGAGTCCTATAGGGATCCGACCAATCTTCAGGCTAAGATCCAGAAGCATCAGGCTTTCGAGGCCGAAGTGGCCGCCCATAGCAACGCTATCGTGCACTTGGATCAGATCGGCTACGAGATGATCAATCAGCAACACTTCGCCACCGATGTTATCAGAGTAAGTGTCCATTTGGTTGTGAACATAGCTTTATGACCAGTGGTTTAGCCACTGGATTAGTACATATGATGACACACCCAGCTCTTAGATGCTGTTCCCATACAATGGCGGACACGTTATGATAACAGCTTTTTATTCTGATTATTAACTTAATTGAAATGAATTGAAATGTTTAACCATTTGTGACAAAAATGTAATGAAAATTGTTTAATTGATAGCACCGTTTGGACGAATTGCACCGACTCTGGGAACTACTGCTCTCTAAATTGGCCGATAAAGGTCTTAAGCTACAGCAGGCGCTCGTATTGGTGCAGTTCCAGCGCCAGTGCGATGAAGTGATGTTTTGGATTAAGGATAAGGAACAGCTGGTGGCCACCGATGAGATCGGACAGGACTTAGAGCACGTGGAGCTCTTGCAGCGCAAGTTCGATGAGTTCCAAAAGGATATGGCCTCACAGGAGAGCCGTATTGTGGATGTGAACGAACAGGCGGACCAACTGATCCGCGATCAACACCCGGAGCTCGAGCTGGTGGTGAAGCGCAAAGACGAGTTGAACGAGTCGTGGCAACGCCTTCGGCAGCTGACTCTCCTCAGACAGGAGAAGCTATTCGGCGCCCACGAGATCCAGCGTTTCAATCGAGACGCCAACGAAACCATCGCTTGGATTACCGAAAAGGATGTCGTCCTCTCCAGCGATGATTACGGCCGCGATTTGGTCTCCGTTCAGACCCTTCAGAGAGTAAGCGTTAACTTAAATTTGATTATATTTTCTGATATTTGCGACCACTTATGATGAATCCTATGTCCCTCTCTTACGGATAACTTCTTATTATTAGGAGATATCCAATGATTGATACATTTTACTGATATTTTAAAATATAAATTTGCATTATTTATGCCATTTTTAAAAAGTGGTTATTTATTGAATTATAAGTTTATTAATTATGTATTTTGTGTATTATTAGAAACATGAGGGCATTGAACGCGATTTGGCCGCACTGTCGGACAAAGTGGACACTTTGGGACAGGAGGCCCACCGGTTGTGCGGTATTCACGAAGACCTGGCCGACCAGACACGCGCTAAACACTCGGAGATTGTGAGCACTTGGGAACAGTTGAAGTCCAAGGCTCTGGATCGACGCCGCCGTCTGGACGAGTCGTATCTATTGCACCAGTTTTTGGCCGATTTCCGGGATCTTATCTCTTGGGTTCACGACATGAAAGCCATTATATCGGCCGACGAGTTGGCCAAAGACGTGGCGGGCGCTGAGGCCTTACTGGAGAGACATCAGGAACATTGGGGCGAAATCGACGCGCGCGCCGACAGCTTCCGCGTGAGCGGAGAGGCCGGTCATCGACTTCTGGAGCAAAACATCTCCAGAGACGAAGTGAACGAAAAACTGATCCAATTGTCGAACGAGAAGCAATCGTTGACCGCTCTCTGGGAGGACAGACGTATTCTATACGAACAGTGTATGGATTTGCAGCTCTTCTATCGGGACACCGAACAGGCGGACACATGGATGGCCAAACAGGAGGCATTCCTCGCCA